ATCACACACCGTACTCAGGCACCCACCTTACAACCCTCACAATCACACACCGTACTCAGACACCACCTCACAACCATCACAATCACACACCATACTCAGGCACCCACCTCACAACCATCACAATCCACACCGTACTCAAGCACCCACCTCACAACCATCACAATCACACACCGTAGTCAGGCACCCACCTCACAACCATCACAATCACACACCGTACTCAAGCACTCACCACACAACCATCACAATCACACACCGTACTCAGGCACCCACCTCACAACCCTCACAATCACACACCGTACTCAAGCACCCACCTCACAACCATCACAATCACACGCCGTACTCAGGCACCCACCTCACAACCATCACAATCACACACCGTACTCAGGCACCCACCTCACAACCATCACAATCACACACCGTACTCAGGCACCCACCTCACAACCATCACAATCACACAACGTACTCAGGCACCCACCTCACAACCATCACAATCACACAACATACTCAGGCACCCACCTCACAACCATCACAATCACACACCGTACTCAGGCACCCACCTCACAACCATCACAATCACACACCGTACTCAAGCACCCACCTCACAACCATCACAATCACACACCGTACTCAGGCACCCACCTCGCAACCATCACAATCACACAACGTACTCAGGCACCCACCTCACAACCATCACAATCACACAACGTACTCAGGCACCCACCTCACAACCATCACAATCACACAACGTACTCAGGCACCCACTTCAGAACCTCTAATTTTATCCATACTGAAAAAACTTACTGAGATGTTATGATCAGCTGACAGGCGTAACTGCAGTTTTAGTAGGGGTTATTAAATTGTTTTGAATTTTGGAAACAGTATTCATTAGTGTTATTGGATAATGTTAGGAATAACTGAAAATACACAATACTATACCACGACTATGGCACATGTTTTCTGCACGCTATATCCCTGGTTAGCTAAAACTGCAGGAAATAAAAATAAACAACATTAATTACACAATCCAGCTATAAAATAAGTTTACATCGCCAATAACATTCAAAAGTGTTTGAAGAGTTATAGTAAATACAGTGAAATATACGGTATGTATTGACGGTAGTTCCAACAGAAAACGGTGTCATGCAGGGAGGACTCCAGTCACTGCTAGTAAGTTTATTCAAGTATACACAAATACTGTTACATAGATTACCAAAAATAGCAGCATATGTGTAGAGAACCTAGGATAACCCAAGAAAGGTCAGACAGAGTGACTTGGTGACGCCTCTATGGACCATCCCTTGTCACTTCCTGTGACGTAGTAACACTCTTCTCTGCAATTTTCCTTGCCACTTCATATGACATGACAACGTTTCTCTACGTACCACACCTTGTGACGTGGCGACTTTGAGTTTTTAGCGTTATCTTAGGCAATCTACAGATATGCTGCTATGTATGATAATTTGTGTAATTGTATTTATGTATAACTGTACCTAAACAAACTCACTCACTTACCCCTTTACGCACCACTCCTCATTCCTTATGATGCGATAACGCCCCATCTTGAACACCTTGTGTTTCTGCACTTTTATTAACAAAACATCATGCATTCAGATATACTTTCTTCGTGGGAGTGTTTTGCTGTACCGAAGCGAGTGTGTAGAGGGTGAGTGTATGGAAGGTCACTATGAGTTTGAACAGTGCTTATTTAAATGATCCACGAACAATCAATATTATTATTATTATTATTATCGGGAAAGCGCCTAAGAGAGCGGAATTAAGTCTGATCTGAGGAAGGGGAAGGAAGACGCCAATTCTTTGGATCAGAAGCTCTTCACCAACATTCAGACATTCCCCCTCCCCACTCCCTACTTCCACAGAGAGCATGCAGTCGACAGGTCTCAAACCTAGGAAGCTAACTAGCTAGCAGTACCACACACCAGACTAAAAAGTCTGGTGCTGGTTGGATGAAGTGGCGCGTTGAAGACAAGCTGAAGGCAGAGATTTAATTTTCAGTGGAAAAAACTACTAGAACGTTTCGCGCTGGGTAGACCTCTGTGAGCTACTGATTTGATAAAACTCGCCACAAATCGAAATATTGTCACGACAAAAGAATTTTTAATTTTCATGTAAAGAGACTCTTTTCGAAATCAAATTAATGTTTTAAAGTTACATCTCTATATAAAAAAAAAGTTCTTATTAAAAAAGGTAATATTTTAATAAAAAAGGTGAAAAATTCCCACAAAAAGGTTCTGCAACTTGTCTTTGCTCTAAATTTGTGTTAGAGGTTGGATCAATTACCCCGGCTCGCTGACCATACCTCAGTACCTCGTGAAGGCGAGTTCCTTCGGTTTGTGATCCTGCTTTCCCAACCTCAGCAGCAGCGGCTATTGTGAAGTTTGTGCGTATAGATTTTCTGCCGTGTGCGATCATTTGTGTCTAATGTATTGTATGGTAAGACAGAAGGTTACAGTGCTATCTTAACTGATGTGAAGTGTTATGGAAGACTGGTATTGTTGGTAGCAAAGCCAATGTTTGGCTCTTACGGTCGTAGGGTTGTCAGTATTACACAAGACTCCAGGAGAATTGTTGTATATAAGCCACCAGCTTAGCCAAGATTCTTACAGTTCCTGTTTCCAACTCTTGAAGAAACATGAATCTTAAGCTACTAGTAAGCAGTTTTATCTGGGTGGGAGAAATCTGTCAGTTGAAACGGAAATCCTTTCACTACCTTATTGTGTGTTATGGGGTAACATATATAAGGAGACTTGCCCATACTTTTACTTTATCTTTTCCGCCTTACCAACTAGTTTATTTTGTACCCGCATCTCATCCTGTAAGCGGAAGAGAAAAAATATAACAGGATTACAAAGGTCCCATTGAGTCTTTGTCACTCCCCATCGGGAGGTTACAATGTTAATAAATATTACTGTCATTTAATGCATTACCATTTCTTCAAATAGTTAATCCACTGGATTATATGTCTCGCTTTCACGGTGATCAGACCCAGGACCTTCAGGTTAAGAGCCGAATGTGTAAAAGGAAGCGTAACCGTTAAAATAATTTCCAACGTGATACTGTACTTCAATCTGTCGTTGAATTTCGAATTACATGACGAAATTGATTATTATTATTATAATCAAAAAGAAGCGCTAAGCCACAAGGGCTATACAGCATGACGAAATTGAATAAAGAAGTAAACAATTGTTTATTATTGTAATTTTAACTGCTCAAAGTTTTCATTTCTTACTTCTGACTATATAAGTTTTTTTCTTTTTGTACTATCTGATCCTCGCCATTTATATAAATCATATATTTCAAAGATCCTTGATGAAACAATTTGTCATAAATATTATAAAGACCAAGATAACAACTAGTCATGTTAAGTAATAGGATTATCTCTTACATTAGCAGGTACTGCTGGTGCTGGTGGTAGCTGCAGCTGGTGCTACATCAACCAGCCACGTGAGCATCAGGTTTGGTAACGTGGGCAGCATCCAGTACAGCTACGGCCTTGGACCGTCCCACCCTCCCCCGTCATACCGACCCACAACACCGACTCCGTTAGTCAAGCCAACAACACTAGACCTATCCTATGCACCCAGGCTAACCCTGTCTAACACATCTGCTCCATTAACCAGTACTCAAACTATTTACCACACTAATCTGTCCTACCGTCGATTCCCTTCCTACCGTCCAGCTCTATCTTCCAACCCAGCCTTGTTCTACCGTCCAGTACTTTCCAATACTTACATCGAGGCATCCATCCCAACCTGTGCTGGCCTCACCAACTCCACCTGGTGCCTTGAAGATGAACGATACCCTGAGAATGCGATCAAGCGTGCTATTCAGAATCACTTGGATAATTTTAATTCCCTTTACACCGACTTAGTCGAATTTGAGACCGAGCTCTCTATAGAGCGACTCAACACTATAAATAAGACTTACCTCTGCCCCTCAAAGACCTCCTACATCCACCCTCTCCGAGCCCAGAATACGGAAGGCAAGTGGCTCATCATCGTTAACAACATCGGTGTCAGCTACAAGACTTACATTCAGACCGTTCGCATTGAAGAGTGTCTCACTGATAATAACCCCTGTCCTCTGGTGCCAATGTGTTATGATTCCAAGTGCCTGCAGAAGTTCATCTACCAGCGCTTTCTCGTCTTCGACCCTTACGATTTGTCTTTTCCTTTTGCAATCGAGACCTTTAAGCTACCCGCCAGCTGCGCCTGCCTGCTGGACTCCTTCAACATCCATTAAGATGTCTTATATTAATAAATTGTATTTAATATTTAATTTAGGCAACGAATGTAACATTAACGATATATCAAAGTTAATAGCGGTGAAAATTAATATCTCTCATTTTGCTAGTGGCGGTGCGTAAAGCAGTTCTCTACTCATCCGACATATTGACTTACCTGTCCATTGTTGCTCATAATATTCAATATATTTTAGAATTCAAGTCTAAACTTCCTTATGGAACCTCATGTCAGTGTTACAACCCCCAAGTCAACCTTGTAACCCGTGGCGCCAACCTTATATAACCCACCATATCAGACATGTAACTTTTCACGTCAGCCGTGCAGCACATCATGTCAGCCTTGTAACTCAGCATGTCAACCTTATAACCCTTCACGTCAACCTTGTTACCCAACACGGTAGTCTTGTAATCCTTCACGTCAGCCTCGTAACCTTTCACGTCAGCCTTATGATCCTTCACGTCAGCCTTGTGATCCTTCACGTCAGCCTTGTGATCCTTCACGTCAGCCTTGTGATCCTTCACGTCAGCCTTGTGATCCTTCACGTCAGCTCTATAAGCAATTTACAGAAATATAATGTATAACATATATTACTAAGTATAACTGAACTCCACGTTCATGAAGGTAGTGGTAGTTAGGGAGGTGATTATTATTATTATTATTATAATCAAAAAGAAGCGCTAAGCCACAAGGGCTATACAGCAGTTAGGGAGGTGAGAAGAACGATGCTTAAATAGAAATTTCACTGGTGACAATCGCACAAGTGAAGAATAGGAAAATATGGCATATTAACTTTTTTGCATAAACTTATTAACAAAACTGATGTATGCTGGTTAGGTTAGGTTAAGTTAGATTAAGTCAGGTTCGGCTAATTTCGGTTCAGTATTCCATTTTACCATTTTTTTTACTTGTGCCTTTTTATTAGTATAACTTTTAGACCAAAAAGAACTTTAGACCACAAGCAGAGAGGAACACTGCTGTAAGCCTACTGGTCCATGTTAGGCAGATCATTCCTAATCCTTATCACAGATTTCAGTTATTTATTCATAAAACAATCCAAGGTATTTGCTTCAATGACGTTACCAGTGTTCCTAGCTCCATAAATATGGTAAGGACAGGGAGATCTGTTGAATTAAGAATTACATAGCTCTATATAGATGAGGCAATTAGATAACATAAACCGATCCGCTTAAAATAGAGTAAGGGAGAATATAAACTCTCCGATCCGCATTAAAATAATATCAGATAAAATATATTCTCCGATCCGCTTAAAAACAAGTATCATGGAACATAAATTTTCCGATAAATAAAGGATATAAGATACTAGATCTGCTCAATAAAAAGGATCACTACTTTTAGTGTTGGTCTCCCGCCCAGGTGTTGCTGACAAGTATGGTACTCTGGAGACACTAGGTGCAAAGCAAACCTTTGTCATAGACGATGTTTGGCTCTGGGTAGACCTTTATCAAGTCTTGTCATAGCTCTGTCCAGAACAACACTCTGTCAGTGCCTCTCTACAATATATTTACTCGTGCATGGATTAAAGTGTTTGTAAAACTTAGTTGACTAAAAGTAAGAACCATCTGGGCAAGACACTGAAACACAAATAAAAAGAGAGCTGTATATTTGATCCTCAGTCAGCATCTGCTGAAGAGGGTCTCTGTCCGAGGCCGAAATATACAGATAACCTTTACTTCTGTTTCAATACTAAAGATATTTATTTTCATCTGTCAAAATTTATTAATATTCAAGTAATCTGTAATTCCCATGCATTGTCGTTTCTTCTCTCTGTTTACATGATATTCTTCTCGAGGAAAAACAAGTTTCTGAATGATCAGTGGCACTCACAGTAGACGAGAAACAGATGATAAACGTACATTAAACAGGACTCACGAAGCCGTGGTTAACGCGCCGGTCTGGAGTTTTAAGACTCTCTGATCGTGGGTTCTAACCCCACCAGTGGTATGGTTTACATATTAAACAGTATAGAAGGACCTGTCTAGTGTAGGACTTGCCCTGTATAGAAGGACCTGCATAGTTTAAAAGGACTGACCTAGTAGAGAAAGACCTGCCTAGTACAGAACCTTCCTAGTTTAAAAAGACCTGCCTGAGATAAAAAGGACCTGGCTAGTTAGAAGTAGCTGCCTAGTATGGGCCAGTAGGTTCATACTAGGCAGCTCCTATGTATTGCTTTGTAAACCCTTATATTATAATCATGGGGAGCGCTAAACCCGTAGGGATTATACAGCGCCTGTAGGGACAGGGAGATGAAAGGTATTCAGGGCTAATTCAGGGAACTGGAGCACAGATCCAATTCCTTAGATCAAGAGCCCCTCACCAGCGTCAAGGAACCTCCCTGGAGGGGTCCACAGACTGAAATCCTGGCTTAAATGCCCCAAAATAGAATACTGGCTTAGGCATCCCAAGAATTAAATCCTGGATTAAGCCCTCAGGTATGAAATCCTGGCTGCGATACTGCCGTCAAACATCCAGTTATTTAGCTAGTCTTCCCAAGGTTGAGAAGAAAGTTGGCTCACACTGAAACCTCAAATAACATGCATTAAGCTAATTGTAAGTGAGCAGTAACTCATACAACCACAGGAATTATCAGAACGTGTTGAGTGTTGATGAAGCGTGCAAGATAGCAGCGTCACTCTGTGCCCCTGACAGTGAAGGTTGCAGTTAACTCGTCGTTAACTGCATTAAAATTAATGTTGCAATGCAGCTAGGTGAGTGTAACCAGGCAGCGTTTTTCTCTCGCGAGAAAGTGGATGGTAGATCGAGCCACCGTTACCCTTTTTTTTGCACTAAATGACCTAAGTCTGTTTAGCACTTAACAATGCTTAGCCCTTCATATATCAAGGAAAACACTTCTCTAGTTGCATTTCTTATATGTGTTCATCTATGATTTCGTTTGTTTACCGGGGAGGACGGAGGATCAAGCCTCCACCAATATCTGATCTGTATGACGTACATGGGATTTGCACTCCACACGAAGTATAATAAACGAGGCACAGACTTGTAAATAGTGTTACGTCTGTGTGTAAGTGATCCCTCTGATGTTTTACCGTAATAAACGACTGTCAATGAAAAAAACAAAAGGATGGACCGGAGGCTCGAACCGTGTTCACGACATTGACAGGCCCAGCCGAAGCGGTAGAGCAATGAGTGTCAACCTTGGTATCACGGTTTGAGCCTCTCGTCCATTCCTCTGTTTATTTTCAGTATTTTTTGAAGGGGTCGCTCCATCAAATTTCGAAATTGCAAAACACGTAAGATTTCCTTATTTTTCAGTTTTGTTCTTACACATATATTTTAAATTTCTACCAAAAGTAAGATAAATTTTATTAAATTCCTGGCAGTAGCTTGCCTGTCAGAGCTACAAGATGTGCACATCTCAGAGATTGAAATATAATTATGCAAATTTTCATCTTTAGGCTCCATTAACAATTGAAACATTTCCTTAAGCATAATCCATCATGGCTGAAGATTTGAATAAGATTAGAAGAATTCGTTATCGCAGTAAAGTCCATATTTAAATTTTACTCATTTTTCCACTGCCAAATCGAGACTTACACAACCTTCTCTTGGGAAAAATACACAATCATAGAAAGTTTGAAGCTGATCCAAAAATTCATTCACCAGGTTTCGAACTAACTTGTATGGGCCCTGGTTATTGTGACCAGGCAAAAATAAATAAACACACACACACACACACGAGCACGTCTCCGGAAGCATACATCAACCAGATGACTGCTGCAGCATATGGGCGCCTGGCAAACCTGAGAATAGCGTTCCGATACCTTAGTAAGGAATCGTTCAAGACACTGTACACCGTGTATGTCAGGCCCATATTGGAGTATGCAGCACCTGTTTGGAACCTACACTTGATCAAGCACGTCAAGAAATTAAAGAAAGTGCAAAGATTTTGCAACAAGATTAGTTCCAGAGCTAAGGGGAATGTCCTACGAAGAAAGGTTAAGGGAAATCGGCCTGACGAAACTGGAGGACAGGAGGGTTAGGGGAGTCATGATAACATCATACAAAATACTGCGTGGAATAGACAAGGTGGACAGAGACAGGATGTTCCAGAGAGGGGACACAGAAACAAGGGGTCAGAATTGGAAGTTGAAGACCCAGATGAGTCAAAGGGATGTTAGGAAGTATTTTTTCAGTCATAGAGTAGTTAGGAAGTGGAATAGCCTAGCAAGTGAGGTAGTGGAGGCAGGAACCATACATAGCTTTAAGATGAAGTATGGTAAAGCTCATGGAGCAGGGAGAGGACCTAGTAGCACTCAGTGAAGAGGCGGGGCCAGGAGCTGAGTCTCGACCCTTGCAACCACAATTAGGTGAGTACACACACACACACACACACACACACACACACACACCATATATATATATATATATATATATATATATATATATATATATATATATTATTAAATTTACTATGAATCATCCTGTAAGTTAAATGCATCAGACAATGAAATCTGTAGCCGTTCACAAGCTTTTAAAATTGCCAAATTGGCACCTAAACACTCCAACATAAATGTAGACCTTCTACGTAGGATACATTCATGATAGTGGAAAGTTAGAAGGAAATCAGTTTATGTACTCTCAAGCTGTTGTACGGAAACTGTCGCATTATTTGTTAAACACGCACTACACAGCATAATAATAAGTCACACCTTTCAAACTGTAAAAGTTTGAAGACCATCAAGAGGGAGGTGATCTGTTACCATATGGGGGAAGTCCATTAACATTATACATAAGTATCTAAGTTTAGCAACAGTCTGTGGATCCACAATGATGCGTCAGTTGGTGAAGCAATTGATGAACCATATGTTTCATTAAGATAACTGCAAAATTCATTAAATAATTGCACAATGTCTTAGACATAACACATTCATCAGATAGTCTCCACTTCCTCCTGCCTCCAGCACTACCAGTGGCGATAAAGAATCAGAACTCGTGAACAATAAAAAATGTACCCATCGTACACATTAATAATTACATAAAAATAAAACTGTCAGCTATTTACGAACATAAGGGTGTGGTGTCATCCCCACATATAACGTTCCTTTATTGTTAATTACCTTTCAGTTTTGATATTCTAATGTTACTGTGTCATGGTGGGCCGTTTGAGCGAACTAAGAGGTTCTGAGCGTAAATCACTGGAACAAAGGTACGAAGGCTTGCATCACCTGACTAAAAAACCTCTGAAACGTGACTTTCTATTTTCTCTTCTTAAAACACTAACTGGTTTATTACAAGCATCTTGGTTATTATTATATTAAATTATGTCAGCTGCTTAGACAGATCTCCTTTCCCCGTTTGTTCTTTTAATCTCCATGTGCATTACACGTATGCATACATACATACACAGAAATACACATATACACACACAAGGACATACAAACACGCATTTTCTCTCCCTATACCAACAAACAAGAATCTCTAGTTTTCAGCTAGTGTGATTATCACT